ACTGGTGCTGAACTCCCTCAAACAAACGCTGCCTGTGTTTTTAGGGAATGGGCAACAAGGTTCCCCAGCTACAATAAGCCCAGTAACCACTTGGCTTCCAACTAACTCAGTGTCCTGAGACACAAGGAGGGTACTATGTACCAAAGTGCTCGTTATCAAGATTGCCAACACCTGATTCAAATCACACATGCAGTCACTTGCTCATTACAGCACTCCCAGGCAAGACATGCCATGTGAAAACCATTACAGAAGAGCCACAGTATAAGGGTTTCTCATGGCTGAACCAAAGATACAGGTTCTCTCCTACAACGAAGCCTCTGAGGAATAGTGAATTCACCTTCTACAGTAATACCAGGATCTGCATGTTACTTTTATATTTCCATTACTGTTTACAGAAGTTGCTTGTGCATGCATATTTATCATGGTAGTTTTTTCTAGCCGAGTCTGGCCTTTATTTTCAACTCATGAGTAATAACACTTTTATGAAATAAAATCAAACAGCACTACCTGTCTGTCAATAGAAATTGATGCCATTTTGTACATTAACAGACTTCGACCCCTCAAACCATGAGGCCCTTCATATCACCCAGTCTATCACTGCATGCACGCAGGCACACATGGTCAGCAGATCATAGAAGGCAGCTCTATTAGCTCCCTAAATACTGTCTCCTGTGGTCAAGAGAAATACCCTTTTCCAATCTGCAAGATCAGGTACATTTTTTTTGTATTTGCTATCTCCCATTGTTGGTAGGTAGACAAACTAAATCAATAGTCCAGGCTGAAAATCATTGCCCTTATTGGTTGAAAGCTGCAGAAAAAGACGACAATTTCTCTCTTTATACCTGTAGAGAAAAAAAGGCTTTCAAGGTACACAGGTGATCTTAGGGGCCTAAAAGTGTGAAAACATCCCTTACCATAGTTTGCTTCCAAACTTAACAATCCTCTTCATCACTCTTCCCTGTAGGGCAATGTCTGATTATTTGATAGACTACAGATCTACTCTTTCAAAAGCCACACCCTCCGCTTCAAAATCTAACAGAGGTTCCTGCCTGTTCCTTATTTCACATGCTGAAATAAGACACTGCAGGCAGCCTGTGAGGTATCTAACAAACACCCCAGTCTGAATACCCCATTCCCTGCTATACCAAAAGGAGATCTCACAGTCCACAAAAGGACTAAGTATGTGTGCTAAACATGGCTTGCAAGAAAGCAGAATTTAGAGCTCAGACCTTATAAACCGAAATTCAGAGGGATCTTCTTTCAAATAAATGGGACAGACTGCATGTTTATGGTTTAAATGATATGCTGTTGGGTTTTTGTCCTCTACAAAATTCCAATTTCCTCTGAGGCATTGGTTAAATTCCTACAGTAATAAGAAACTCAGACTCAGAACAAACTGTCCCCTGGGTCTACCCTCTCTAAGACAGAAGTCTACATAGTTAGTACTGAACTATCGTTGTACAAATCTTTACGCAGTGCTGGAGATACTTTCCTATTCCAAGCCACGGCATGATGTATAAACACACTGCAAAGTAGAGGCTGCTGCCCAAGGTACACAAGGAACAAATATGTAGCCTTTCCTACCTCAAAGTAAGCTGCTGGGTAAGGCAATTATTCCCTGCTTGTCTGTGATTGATCAGCTTTCTGTATATGGATGTGTGAGCTTTCATTTATTACCTACTTGGTCACTGGCACAGGGCTGCAAAGAAAAAGGTCTTTCTAACAGGATTTTTTCTGGGAAAGGAATTAAAATAGCATTGAGACAATTTAAATCACAGACAATGGCACTTTCCAATCCTCTTCTCTATGTAAGACAACACCCATACAGCTAAAAGTTCTAGGGGACTTGTTTGGGATGCGGACAGTGGATTTCAACCCCTCTGTGCTGTCTACTCCCTTTTAAATAATATGCACAAAGGGCACAAGTCTGTGCAATCAAGGCAGAGTAAGGCTTTAAGTAACATGATTTTAATATTTATAAGGTTTTAACTTCTTAGTGATTATTTACGAAATCTTCTATTACATCAGGATAACAGGCTTAAAAGAAAGTAAAATAATCCAAAACTTACCATTTTTACACCAGTAAAAACATTTTAGAGCTATATTCAGAACCTATCCTCATACCTCAGTTGAAATGAGCTGTAAGTCTACAAAGTATCAAATAATAATTAAACCCAGAGTTCATGGAGAACAATTGTTAAAGGAGTAAATTTATTGCAGAAATAACAATCATATACTAAAGCTTCAGCCTGAAACGCTTTCATCACAATACATTGCATAGGGTCCCACTAAGTCCAAAAGACAATGCCATTTTCCTCATATCAAAATTATCAAAAACTCTTACCTATTCCATTGGCTTAAAGACTGCTGTACAGGCTTTACATTAGGTTATCTCATACATAAAGAGGTTCACAACAGGAGCGAAGGAAGAGAGTCACTCCGATGTTCTTTCATTCTCCACAACATGTCAGAGATGGCCTGTGGCCAGTTCTTCTTTACTGGAAAGGAATTTTGTCTTGGTCACACTTTGATGTACGAGGGAGGGATATTCCCCAAGAAAAGGAACGTGACAAACTAATTAAACTAAGCTATATTGTATACGTAACTGTAGATCAGTATCTGCTGAAGGTATCTCTCAACTGGTTCTTCTTATAAAGAACCTCCCATTAATTTAACTTATTTAAAATATAAATATATTAGAAAATTAGTGCTATGGAACAACCATTATAAAACATTTTCTTAGTTGGATAAATTATCTTCCACATAATTCTGAACCACTCAGCATCTCATATTTGAGCTTGGGAAGACAAGAGGGTATAAAGGTTGCAAGATACTCTCAAGTGTGTATATGCACCACTGTCCTCTGCTGGAAGAAATCAGCCTTACTCATGTTTGTGACTGATTAGCTTCTATTAGCAGTAGCTGACATAGAGCAAAGATGACATAAACAACAGCTAATGTACATTCCCATTTAAGCTCCACAGGCCTGTGGCTTAGGACAGAAGGTTGTTAATTCTATTGTCTGTGCAATGTAGCTGCGTAAACAGCATTTAAGATGTTTGCATATGCCCTGGACAGTGATCTTTATTACTATGTATTTGTACAGCAATAACACCCCCAGGCCTTGCAGACACTGGACCTTGCTGCTCTACAGACACGGAGCTGAGATCCAAGATTGCAACTGCATGGTACCATATCATTTGATGCCCAAGATTTGCAAAATGCCATCTATAAAATAGCAGCAGATTTTGTATCAGCGTGACACCAAAGGAAAACCCTACACAACCCCTTTGAGGACCTGAGCCTAAGACATTTTAAACAACAGCTAAAAGAAAGACACAAATGCAGTCACTGTCTCTTGCTCCAGCATTTCTAGGACAAGCATTTATCTTCTCAGGACAGGCACAGAACCTGTAAACCCAGTATCAAGGCCTCTAGAGACCCCCTCAGTTGCAGTGCAGCTCCTTCCCATGCTAATGCTACCACATTTTTGAGTGCCTGGGGAAACGCCTCTCTGGGAGGAGGTAAGCACGAGAGCTGTGTGCGAGGTCGACTTCCACCTGCTTGGTAACTGGGCACCATTACACTGAGACACGAAGCCAGGAGAGGCCTTTCCACAGCAAAGGTGAGGGACAAAAGCCCCACATTCACCACAAGCTGAGCTGAGCTGAGCTGAGCCAGTCTTCACCCGGCCCCTAGTGAAGGCGGGGAGGCGTGTGCCTGCAGCTGGCTCCCCACCCGAGGGGCAGCAGAACCTTTCACGGACCCTTCACCTCGCCAGAGCCTCCTGCGCCATAACTCCCGCCCGCCTCGCTCTCCTCAGGTGGCGCCTGCCGAATTGGCGGGCTGTGCGGGGAGGGCGGAGCCAAGGCGGGGGGCGGAGCCAAGGCGAGGGGCTTGGCGGGAGTTGTAGTCCGTCCCCCCCAACCCGCCGCTCGGCGCGGCCATTCCCGCACGCCGGACTACATTTCCCCGGGGGCGCCGCGGGAGCCTC